CCCATAAGGAGGGGCCTGAGCTCCCACGGACCCAGTAAATTTAACATCTGTGGGGGTCGCTAATATACATTACCAACAACCATTATTTTGATCACAAATAATGCATTTTTCAATGTAATGAGTATTATTTACGTTAACGAGGTAAATAGGCAAACAAAACAACGTTTTCCAAAAGAACTACGCATCGTATTCTCTCTTGAATGACAATATGCCTGCACTTCACCTCTAAGGTGCGCAATAAAATATTGCGCAATCTATGCCTGTGAGGCTGTGAACGTGCTGCGCGCGCCCGAAGAATGAACCGTTATATCAACAGACATTCAAATATATTGACAGGATACACACATACATACTATGAGTACCGTAGGCTAGCAGACGATTAGCATGCCGCCCAAAAAAAGGCCACTGCCGCCGACGGGGTCTACAAGCCTGGCTAGTTTTGGTTTTCTCACAAAGAAACAAAAAACAGCTTTTGACAACCAAAATGCACCTGCTAGCGTGACAACTAGTACTAACCTTGCTGCTACGGAGGATGCTGTCTTTGCTAGCGGACCTGATGCTGTTGAATGTGGGACCACCAGCACACACGTAGAAAGTTCCGAAGCAGAGCGGTATGAGGAGGCAGGAGGTACTGCTACAGAAGGACCGCCACTTAACTGGGGACACAATCAGTGGAGATCCTGGAAAGAAAGAAACCCCTGGCTGTTTTCAAAGGAGGGTGGTCTTGGATGCCTCGTCTGTAAGGAAACCAAGACTCTCTTACTTTCGGAGAAAAAATATGGAACGCATTTGGCGGATGCCTGGATCAATGGGACTGTGAGTAGCCCTGTGCAGAAGCAGTTGCGAAAAATTTTTTACATACACCGCGACTCTATTGCTCATAAACGAGCTGTTGAAATAGCGGAGCTCAAACTAAAAGAAGTGCTTCCGAAGAAAGTTGCAGAACTCAGCTCCAGCATGTTTAATGAGACAGCTAGTTCGTTCAGGGCAGCCTATACTGTCGCTAAAGAAAGGTTGCCTTATACAAAATTGAATCCCATTATGCAACTTAATGAAATGAATGGTGCGACAGTCGGCCCTGCTCACAGATCCGATCATTCATGTGCCCAGATTGTAGAGCACATTGCACAAGAGATGAAAAAGACATTTATTTCTAATATCAAATCACTTGATTCCCGTATTAGTCTAACACTAGACGAAAGCACAATTCATGGACGCGCATACATGATTATTTATGTCAGGTGCGATGTCACTGGGAATGGAGAATTGGACAATGTGTATTTTGACATTGTTGAACTGGACCAGGGCACTGATGCAGAGTCGCTGTGTAGCGCACTGAAAAACAGCCTCCAGGCGGGGGGAATGGATGAAGAGTTTCTTCGTAAAAACCTAATTAGCATAGCCACAGACGGTGCTGCCGTGCTAACCGGGAGACAGACTGGACTCATAGCCAGGCTGAAAAAGGATTTCCCTCATCTTCAGGCAGTTCATTGTCTAGCTCATCGTTTGGAATTAGCGGTGAATGATTCATTGAAGGCTGTGGCAGGCTGTAATCATTTAGAGTTTTTCCTCGCTAAACTCTATTCTCTTTACCACCAGTCCACGAAAAACGCCAGGGAGTTAGAGGAAGCGGCTGCGGAACTGAACATGCAGATTCTGAAAATCGGACAAGTCTTTACAATTAGATGGGTTTCCAGCAGTTACAACACTGTCAAAGCTGTGCTGAAGGACTTCCCAGTGTTAGCACATCACTTTAAATCTGCGAGTGAAGATGGCTCACGTTCTGGTGCAGAGAAAGCCAAGTACGCTGGTTTACTAAAGCATCTGACATCCACTGGATTCCTCACTGATTTAGCGACAATGAAAGACGTGTTACGTGAACTACAAAGTCTCTCTCTGAAACTACAGAAACGCGACACGTCCCTGGTTGATGCAAGCCGCTACATACATCAGACGATCGAGGTGCTCTCTGCCACGAAGGACAACGATGGGAAAACTGAACTAAAAGTCAAAGCGGGCATAACAAGCGGCCAGTTCAAAGGGGTTGATATTAGAGAAACTCAACCTAAAGTAAAGAAGTCCCAATTTTACCAGTCAATCATTGATAATCTCACCAGGCGTCTTCCCGATAGTGAGCTGGTAACTATGTTGAAGCCTATGGATCAGCACTTCTGGCCAAAAGAGAGGACAGAGCTTGTTCTGTTTGGAGAAAGGGAGGTGGGGAAGTTTGCTAAACTTCTCGGAGAGTCCGCAACTGAAGCTGTCAGTGAGTTCAGAGACTGGAAACTACAACAACAAGGCAAGGAACATCAGGGTAAAACCTTGAAAAGACTGATAGTGGCGAGCAACACTGTTCTTCCGACATCTGCAGAGTGCGAGAGGGGCTTTTCTGCATGCAATGACACCGACTGTAAGACCAGGAACCGGCTGCGAGCCAGAAGCCTCAACGCATTGTTGTTTGTGGATTTAAATGGGCCTCCTATCAACAAATTTGACCCTTTCCCATTCATCCAATCGTGGATAAATAAAGGACATCGGACTTCCACATCATGGGTTCCAGGACCGCGACCACAGCCTGCTGAAAACAGACCACTTTGGGCTATTTTATCTGCGTAAAGGTATGGGCGTGTGTGTGTCTGTGTGTGTCTGTGTGTGTGTGTGTGTGTGTGTGTGTGTGTTTGTTTGTTTGACCACGTAATTAGCAGTGAAGTCAGTCTCTCTCTCTCTCGTTTTATCTGTGAGAGCTAATTTTTGTATTTTCTTTATAGCTCTTACGTTGTTATTGATTGTGTACGAGTTCATGTGTTTGAGCATGCGCAGTCTGTCCTGAAGTTGTGGAGAGAGTAAAACGTAATAAACGGAGGCGCTGTTTGTGACGCTCCACAAGTACAGAGTTCCTGAGTTTTTGTGATTTTGTAATTATCTTTGAAGCCCTAACACATCAGACACTAATTGTATACTCACAAGGGTGTGCAATATATACCATCAGTTGGAGTCTGCACCTCCAAGGTGCGCAATACATTATTGCGCAATCTATGCCTGTGACTGTGCGTGCGCGCCTGCACGCACGCGCGCATGCGCTAGTTTTAAAGACCCCCATAGAGCTCAGTTTATAACTCGAACCCTGATTGTGGGGATTTTAAGACCGCGGAGGATACACATGTGCAGCCTCGAAATTTCCCACAAGCTTTTCAGCATCTGGCAGACTGAGTGTGGGGCGGAGTTTAGCAATATTTCTGAGGTGGTAGAAGGAGGTCTTGCATGTTTGTTTGATGTGGGCCTCAAAGGGACTACATAGAGTATTTCAGCAGTATTAGTGTTAATCATAATAACCAGTCACCTGCTGACATTCACAGATCCTTTTATTATATGAGCTGTAATGTGTAAAAGTGGGTTAAAGAAATGAAACATCTCAAATGAACATCATCTCACTAATATATATATCAATAGCTGACAAATAAACATGTTTCTGAGTTCATCTTTGCAACAAAAACAATATCAATTATAAAAATGAGGCACACAGATAAATTGTGTAGTTGTTTCCATATCAATTGATGTGTGCAGAACCATTGAAGTGGTATGTATTTCTCTTAAAATTACATTTGTCTTTGTCTGAAATCATTTACACTTCCCTCCATTTGCATTAATTGAGTCTGTGAAGCTTTCTCATTTCTCTAATTCCCCTCCTCGACTCCTATCCTCGTGTCTTAGTCCCGCCCACAGGAGATGCGAGCGGAGGAGTCCAGAGCTGCATCTCACTTCGGTTAAATGGATTCCTTGCGTCCCTCACTTGCGTCGTTTCCCTGCGTCTAGTCCCTCCCACCAGGAAGCATGGAGAGACGCAAGGAAACCACGAGAAGCAGGGAAATGAGTTTTAAGAGCAATGGGACGTCGTTTCCTCCGGAGAGTCACGTGAAGCGACGTCCGTTTGTGATGACGCCGCACAGCTGATCGTCTGACAGCAGCCAGATCAGTGCATGCGCTGCATCGTCCAATCAGTGAGCGATACACAGTAAGGGGGCGGGGCGAGTGTCTGAGGATTTCACCAGAGGATGGTCTGGTAGTTCCTCAATTATCGCTCCTCCGTTATCACTCCTCGATCCTCGGTCCTCCGGCACAAATAAGGCCACTGGGACGCTACTCAAGATGGCGCAGACAAATCAACTTCCGGTGATACCGAGCCCGAGGAGCGAGGAAATGAAAAATAAGAGAAGTGAGACGCACCCCAGGAGGGGAACCGAGGAGAGAGGAGGGGACGCAGCAGGCGGTTAGAGAAATTAGATGTCCTTCAACATGAAAACGCTGAAATTCATTTCCGGGTCACTACCGGAGGACCGAGGATTCGAGGAGTCGAGGAGGGGAAATTAGTGAAATGAGAAAGGGCCTGTGTGTCTGTATTGTACTGCGTCCTTTAAAAAAAACATGTCTAAAGCTGCACATTGTATTATTCATATTTAATTAACCTCCTTGTCCTTTTCAGCATAGCAGGCTCCATTTGAGTTTTCATGTAAAGAAAACTGAATATCTGAATTTGTTTTATCATCCATCCCTCCCACACAAGTCAGTATACCAATGACTTGAAAATGGTAAAAAAATCAACAAAGTGCCGCTTTAATGGGTTTTATATAACAATTAAGACCTCAACTGGATGGAAATAAGAAGTGTGACGGACATAGATGTGTTTAAATTCAGATTTAAAAGAGTCAATACTACATCAGTGTAAAATTGCACCAATAAAGGGATGTTTATGCAAATACATGTTGTTGTCCACTAGGGGGCAGTATCCCTTCTTACAAAAGATGCACCGTTGTCTGCATGGTGGCTTTGAATTCAAACAAACGATGTGTTTATCAGTCTGTTATACCCGGAGAGAGAAAACGAAAGATAATGAAGACATAACCCATTATGTTTTAAGGCACATGGAGCAAATCATACCATATAAGCACCAGCAAGCTCAATTCCTGACTCATCTGAAATAAAAAAACACTTCAGATCACAGATTATCTTTTGGTGAAATTGATAACACATCGTCACAAAGCTTTCTCACAGTTACATCAAGTTCAGCGACTGCAGCTCACAACGTCAAAACATAGCTGTGAAAGTGCAAGACTTTAAGACAAACTTACTGACAATATGGTTAATGTTTGTATCAGGCATATGATACTTGACAAATACAATAGTATAAACAAAACAAATGTAGTTAAACGACTGATTAATATTACAATAAAGTACAATTTGATGGAGAACATTAAGTCTTTAAATTCTCCCATTAGAAGGCACTTAACACCTACTTTTTTTATGAATAATATATGTCACATTGATATAAAAAATGTACAATTGATTTTTCATAATAAGGCACCCCTGTATAGGCTGTATTTCTGTCACATTTCCAAGATAAACACCTTGACACCTCAATCCTTTTTCTTCATAACACTGAGTGATTAAAAACCTCATCGATGGCTTCACTTTAGAAAGACTCTTTCTCTGACATTTACTGCAGGCCAAAGAAAACGCTCCAACAATCATCCCCTGAAGATGTGTTTTAGTCATTGCCTGCTCACATTTAAATAGTTAATAAAATGTTATTCTAGTTTTCCATCTACAGTTTGCATGGTCTGGTGTAGAACAACTGAAAGGTAAGGAGAGTATTTGGTATTTCCTAACCCTAACCCTAACAGAATGACATTTCAAGTGGCTTTGAAACATACATTTCTCTATGTTGAGATATGTACAGGGAATAATATTAAACAAATGAATGACTAAATCAAATTGGACTGATTTGAATAACTTTAAACCTTATTTGTCTCGGTGTAGATGGACTCAGACGTGAGCACTTCTAAAACCCTGGCTACAATTTGTAAATGTCATAATATGCTAAAAAGTGCGATCTTTGGGGCTGATTTTGGACTTAATGTTGGAGTGTCCCATGGCCAGGGAGGCGTGTGGCGCAGTGGACTAGGGCGTTGGTGTTCAGATCAGAGGAGCACAGGTTCAAACCCCACTGCAGTCAGCATGTCGTTGTGTCCCTGAGACACTTCGCCCCAAATTGCTCGTGTGGGGATTTCCCACAGTGTTGAGTATGTAAGTCGCTTTGGATAAAAGCGTGTAACATGTAATGTGTTAAACTACATTTAAAATCTGCAATCTAATATGCAAGTCATTTATGAGAATGATGTCCCAATCTGTCAGTGTAATGGAAAAAGAGTGGATTCTCCAAGCAGTTCTCATACACTGTTTGTACCCTCATATGCAATAAATGTTATTTTTAGCCAGCCCAGGTGACGTATTATAGTACAAATCTGTGTTGGAGGACTTATACTATACAATAGTACAAAAGCAGTCCTTGTTTGCATGCTTGTTGATGTCCACCATTGTGTTGTCCGGAGGAATTACACAAACCATTGGCAGTGTGACTTCTGAATTGTCTGTCGTTGTCTTTGTCTGGAAACACAGAGAGTGAAGTTCTGTTCTATCCCAATAGGTAGCATTACTCAATCGTTGTCTTAGGTAAAGAAAGGGAAACCGGTCGGACCAGAAAAGTTAATCGGAGAATGTATTTTGAAATCACGACAACGATATTCTTCCAGCGTGAGTGAGGCGATGAAAAGTCAAACATTGAAAAGCTGCACATGTTGGCTTTGTATCATCTGCCGTGAAACATTTGGATTTTGTGCTTGTCTGCCAGCAGCATGGTGACATTATATTCGTAATCTCCGTCGTGGACTCCTGTGTGTCGGAAAGCTCCGGCCAAATGGTTCTCCTCCCAGTAGTGGTGCCAGTTTCCATACTGGTCTGCGCCAAACCCAAACACATTGACCTGGAGGAGAAGAGGAACAAAACGCAATGTGTCACAAACACAGTAGAACATCATGGATACACAGGGGGGTCCAAACTTCTTTCACCGAGGGCCTCATACAGAAAAATATACGAAGGGCTGGGCCGCTCACTAGAGGTATATTGCCTCATAAGTTCAGTTATAAGAGAACAAATCAATCAAATGTAGGTAAATGATGGTTGATATTGATGAAAAAAAGCTCTCTGTAGGGTTTCATTTATTGTGTTGGCAGCTCATCCCTTAAAACAGAAGCCTCAGATTGATTATAATAAGAGGAAATGTGAAGGGTATATTACAAGGTTGTTTTGTAAATGTGTTATTGGGCTTTTTTCTTATCAACTAAGATATGTTAGAACATGTTTTCAACTTTAATTGACTGCATTTATTTGAAAATTGGGCCTATTAACACATGAATACTGTGTTATATAATTGAACATATGTATTTAAGAAGTACAATAGCAGATGTTTAATTTGTGGGCCATATTTTATTTAATATTATACTTTTGGAATTTGCTGAGGACCAATTCAAAATGGTCGGTAGTTTGTTTGGACACCCCATGCACTAAACACTTCATCATTAATGGATTTTTTCCAGCTTTCACATTTTGTCAAATTCTTTTAAGAGTGGCTAATCCTGGTCTTTAGATAAGGGTGCTGGACAGACACTTCCCCAAAAAGCAAACAAGAGAGGTTGTTCAGTTTCAACCGAACTATTCATATCAAACACTGCACTGTAACTTTTATTCATGTATTTTGTCTTTTAATGTTTATTTTATTATCTTTGCTTTTTAAAATGCCATTTTCTTAATGTCTTTAATTTGTTGAATTGCCTTGTGTTGAAAGGTGCTCTATAAATAAACTTGCCTTGCCTAGTTTAACTTTAAACATATATATATCTACTAAACAATAAACTCCAGTGGACTTTCCAGAAATAAAAACACAATCAAAAATCCAAATATAACTATTCACACACACACACACACATACACACACACACACACACACACACACACACACACACACACACACACACACACACACACACACACACACACACACACACACACACACACACACACACACACGCTCAGGTTCCTGGAAACTCTCTTCGAGAACAAGTCCTTCCTGTGTGTTTGAATGTTTTAGAGTTTAAACTATGAGAGGACAAAGGTGTGCTTTACACACACACACACACACACACACACACACACACACACACACACACAACACACACACACACACACACCACACACACACACACACACACACACACACAGTCACACACACACACACACACACACACACACACACACACACACACACACACACACACACACACACACACACACACACACACACACACACACACACATACACACACACACACACACACACACACACACACACACACACACACACACACACACACACACACACAGTATTCTGACTTCTGAAGTGTCTATGAAGACTCACCCTCGTCACAGATGTGCAGAGCGAGCAGTAAACTGAGGAAACCTGTAGAAGGATATCGTCCGTGACCTTCGAGCCAAGACTCGTAGACGTATTTGAGAAATGTTGGACTGTAAATCAACACCTGCAAAATAAATAGATTTGTTAAAAACTCCTTTGTTATTTACTGTGTTAAAAAATAAACAGATATACCGTACAGGTGACTAAGGTCAACATTTTGATTAATAGACAAAACCATGAACTTCACCAGTTTTATTTTGTTGTAAAACATATTTTCTGAAATGTTATATTTAAACATGCAAATTAGGCTTTATCCTATTAAATATGTTACCTTTGACTAAATCCAGATTTAAGAGTATTTTTTTGATTTGGTTGACATATTTTAGTCAAAGACTTAGACAGAGGAAGCAGCCTTACATTTTTCCATTGATTTTCACCATGCTTTACAAAAAAAAGGGGTTTATCTAAATATATACAACATTAAAAGCCTCTGTTTAAACCTTTAGAATACAGTCAGGACTTAATATACTACATGTTGTTCATGTTAGTGATACTAAAATGGAGATTTCTGCAACAGTATGAGAAAAAAACTAATTTAAAGTGAAGTGCACCTCACAAATGATGAAGGATGGAATAGAATAAATAACGTCTGATCAAAAGTAATGCCATATTCAATTCAACAAACTGTATGTTAACCTCTCTTTGACTCACCTTGTCTTTATTTGCCTTTATCCTTGATGTAACAGCTGTATATGTGCTGGAAGATAAGAAGGAGGGTAAACATTTGGGCTTTAATAAACTTGAATATCCTTGAAATGCTTGAACAATTCGTCTATGAAAACGTTCATAGTGTGAGCTTCTATGCATTTCTGACTTAACCTAGGACACACGTTAATATACATGATGATTTAAAAAGAATAGGCTTAGTGTTAGGTCACATGACTCATATGTTGAGGTTTTTGCATGTTGCATCAATCGTCATTCGGCATTTTTTGTGTGTGACAGTACAGGAAGTACTATGTTGTAAAGTAGTGAAGTATTTTCTTGGAAGGAACTTCTGTTTAAAGGGGCCCTATTAGGCTCTTTGTGGTTATCCCTTTCCTGTAGTGTGTTATATATAGGTTGTTGTGCATGTAAATGGTCTGCAAAGGCTAAAATCCCAACATTGACCAATCACAACAGAGCCGGAAAGCTAACCAATCAGAGCAGACTGGGCTCTGGTTTCAGACAGAGGGTGAAAAGATAAGATAATATAAGAAGATAAGAAGTACTTTATTGATCCCAATACACCTGAACATCAGCAGGAGAGGACTCTTTAAAGTAGAGACACTACATACTGATATACACCTGAACATCAGCAGGAGAGGACTCTTTAAAGTAGAGACACTACATACTGATATACACCTGAACATCAGCAGGAGAGGACTCTTTAAAGTAGAGACACTACATACTGATATACACCTGAACATCAGCAGGAGAGGACTCTTTAAAGTAGAGACACTACATACTGATATACACCTGAATATCAACAAGAGAGGACTCTTTAAAGTAGAGACACTACATACTGATATATACCTGAATATCAGCAAGAGAGGACTCTTTAAAGTGGAGACACTACATACTGATATACACCTGAACATGAGCAGGAGAGGACTCTTTAAAGTAGAGACACTACATACTGATATACACCTGAACATCAGCAGGAGAGGACTCTTTAAAGTAGAGACACTACATACTGATATACACCTGAACATCAGCAGGAGAGGACTCTTTAAAGTGGAGACACTACATACTGATATACACCTGAACATGAGCAGGAGAGGACTCTTTAAAGTAGAGACACTACATACTGATATACACCTGAACATCAGCAGGAGAGGACTCTTTAAAGTAGAGATACTACATACTGATATACACCTGAACATCAGCAGGAGAGGACTCTTTAAAGTAGAGACACTACATACTGATATACACCTGAACATCAGCAGGAGAGGACTCTTTAAAGTAGAGACACTACATACTGATATACACCTGAACATCAGCAGGAGAGGACTCTTTAAAGTAGAGACACTACATACTGATATACACCTGAACATCAGCAGGAGAGGACTCTTTAAAGTGGATACACTACATACTGATATACACCTGAACATCAGCAGGAGAGGACTATTTAAAGTGGATACACTACATACTGATATACACCTGAACATCAGCAGGAGAGGACTCTTTAAAGTGGATACACTACATACTGATAAACACCTGAACATCAGCAGGAGAGGACTCTTTAAAGTAGAGACACTACATACTGATATGATCCTGAAAATAAAACCCAGTATGTGCTCTTTAAAGCCACTAAAATATTCCACACTGTGCCTGTGCAGACTGAGTTTGAGAAGTAAATGGATGGCATACTAATGAGTGAAATGAAAAGTAATGATCACACTGTGAGATACCATCCTGACAAATGTTTCCAATTAAAGTAAGTTTTATTAAGGCTATTGCAATGCTACTCATTGAAATTCAAATATTATACAGACTGGCTTTAATGTGTTTCTGTACAATATAACCGGCCAACCATTTTGTCTTCATTTTGTGGTGAATGAATGTGAAAATGGCCGAGTGTCTACTGGTGCATTCAATTAGTACACTTAGCACTCTAATGTTATAAAATGCGTGAAATGTTTGCATTGAGAACTGCAATCAGTCCCTTTGTCATTTTAAAGAGGCCCTTTTCTATTTAACAAGACGAGAAAATGTAAAATTCACAGCCCTCATTTGAGATCTAACGGCTGTTGGGTTAACGCTGACATTACTGCCAATACTGTGAAGTGTAGTGATGCAGAAAGATTGCTTTGGAGTTGGACGACAACTATAGGAAACATTTGGATTCACTCGTCCTTATACAGTCTAACATGTTGGCACATGTTGGCACATGTGAGTTATTGGCAGGTTTTTGAATTTCTTTTGGACGTCCAGTAATCAAGCTAATGATCACAGGGTCATTGAGAATGAAGCAGCTGAAGGAGAAATGTACTGGAAGATTAACACAGAACGATTATTCTTATACAGCCATCTGACAAATAGGAATACTGAGTGAATGCTGTTATGACAATCTGCTAGTTGGAGAGTATGAATGGATTTGGGGGGAAGCATCACACGATGCATAGTAATGAGTTCAAAGCTATTTAAAGGGGACCTATCATGCAAAATGCACTTTTGTACGTCTTTTATACATGAATATGTGTCCCCGGTGTTCCAGGGAACTCACCAAGTATCAGAAAACACAACCCTCTCTATTTTCCTCCATACCCAAATCTCTAAAAAAGGGGCTGCAACGGATCTGATAAAAACTGATCCAGATTTGAACACTTCTATGTCGTCACAGAAGTGGCGCTACGGCTATTGGGCCAACTCTCCACCTATGAGGGGAATGTGGGGGTTGGGCCACGGCCGGCCATTGCCGCTCGAAAGCGCTGGAGACGCTGTAGTACATATGCCAGGCCTGTAAGTGGCGCTGTAGTCTGCCACAAAAGCAGCGAAGAAGACTTCCCGCCCATAGTTACCATGGTTACCCTTCTGTTTATTCTCCGCTGTGGCTTTTTTTCTCCCTCCCCGAGGCAAGCGTTTGCTCCCGCTGCTTTAATTCAATGCAATCCCTCCCCGTCGAGGCAAGCACTGTAATTCTCTCCGGTTAGTCCACCAGCAGATGACAAACACCCACCTCTCCGCCTCTTCCAAGGAACGAGGGGACCGTGCGGCAGAGTTTCAGTTTCAGTTACTTTCGCTGGTCAAGATGTCCGTTAAAGTTTAAATCTTCCGGACAAAATTAGAAAAGTGCCGGTCAAAGGTCTTCTTTGTTATTTATTGAGCTTTAAAACAAATGAATAACGACTCTATATAATAAAACACGGAGGACGGAGATCTTTTTTTCTCCCCCTCTTGACTTCATCAGAGCACGTCTCCCCTCTCCTGCAGGGGGGCGTGGTCAGCAGAATCAGACCCGTAGACAGCAAACAGCACAGAGCGAAATGAGGCATGGCTAAAATGCATGATCTGTTTGGTATTTTGAAAACAGAAACGTATAAATATACCTTATATAGGTATGGCCCTACAATATATAATTTAAATATAGCATGATAGGTCCACTTTAATATATAAGGACAGTTTTTAGATTGAATTGAGAAATGAAGCTCAGCGCAAGTTCAACCAGGAAGACCTTCTTTACTCATTCATTTACTATGTCCATGTCACTACTCTCTCTCCTCTCAATAAGTGATCGGGGGCGTCACTCCCCAGTTTAACCAATCACTTCGCTCTATTCTCACAAGCCTATCATAGCGCTCCGCTAACCCTTTTAATTCTGCTCTCCCCCCTCTGACAGCTGTCATTTCAGGTGACTCAACGCAACCCTCCTCCACCCCTTTTCACCTCCTGTCCCTCTGAATCCAGGGTCAAGCTAAGCCCCTCCCCTTCAGACCGAACCCAACTATCCATTCACCACCACCAGTGTCTAGACCCCGGGGGGTTTCATCGGATCGGTTCTCCCCTCCCGAATGATACTCCTGCACAACGGGGCCTAATCGCCAAAACTCCATTACATTCACTTGTGTATTCCTGGCAATAAATATGTATTCCTACAGCGTATTATTATTAAGTACTTGTAGAACCGTCCCTTTCAAGCAACACCTCTCACATTAAACATAGTCATTTGATCCATTAAATGTAAGGATATTGACGCAGCTTCATCATCAGATAAGTACACTTACTGTTTGATGGTTCCTGTGGTCAGAGCACTGATGATCCACTGCAGGTCTAGAGTTTTGAAAGGAACCAGCACCAGACACGTGTTGTTCTCCAGGTCTATCGCACTCTCTGGATACATGACATGATGTGTTGTTCTGGAGCCAACATCCTCCTCAAAACCAGACGTGGGACCCTGGTTCATTCTGAAAGACACAGAAAAGCAGAGTCATTTTTTGTAAGTCTTTTCTGGTTATTACCCGTCCTTGTGCAAAAGTAACAAACCCTCAAAGTACACCCTGTAGCGAGTAAAACTCTAACACAGAAAATACCTGTCTATGCTGCCCCAGAACGCCTCGTTGGACATTTTTCTTTTTCCATTTTTTTCTTCCTGGGTATAGTGACGTAACGGGTATAGTGACGTAACGGGTATAGTGACGTAACGGGTATAGTGACGTAACGGGTATAGTGACGTAACGGGTATAGTGACGTAACGGCTCCGCGGATTGGTCCAAATGGACCAATCCGCGCAGCTCCTCACACACCAACACATTCTCACTCCTAACTCGTACTATAGTGATGTTATGTCAGGATCCCTTGGCGTCACTATCAAACGCAGTGGGGGCCCTTTAGCGTCAATTTTCAACTAACAGGGAGTCCCATTGACTTGCATAGAGCTCCCTGGTTGGTAATAGACGAGTTGGGATCGCGGAGAAATGCTCTCAGCAGACCCATTCTCACAGCGTTTATCAACCTTTTTCTTACTCAATATCAAGCCACACTTATTGTTTTTACTTCGGCTGTGAGTGTGTGTGTGTGCTCAGGATGAGTTCAGGCTGAGTTTCGCCGTGTCTCGCTGTCTCGCAGACCTCACGCAGCAACCAGGACACGACACCAGTAATACAGCTCACACTGTCCGGTCCTCGAGCCTCAAAGGGCGAAGCAGCGAGCCCCGCAACGTCCCGCCAACACGGCACCCAGACCCCACGCAGCAAAGCCGATCCCCGGGGAGTTGGGCGGCGTCCTAAGCGTAGACCACGGGGGAGGGTCTCGCCAACTGGCGAGTTACGTATATATTTATATTGTTGTATGTCTGATCTTTTAGGAGTATTTTAGAGTGTATATGGAGGGAGAGTAGCAGGGGAGAGGCTACCACGAGTGGGAGCTCTCGCCCTAAATTGTGGGTTGGTTAAGTGCATGTGTGTGTGCCGTGTGTGTTTACAATTGCCGAGTTGTGTGCCTCCGGTAGAGGGTGTTCGCGTGCCGTGTTCTTTGTGTGGTGTGCCGCGCTAAAGCTATTAAACTAGCCCTGTTTGAAGTGTATAAAGTGGGCTCCACAGCCTAGTGGGCGTTCTTTGTGTCCCGTGGACTCGCTTCCTCTCTTGTCCTCTCCTCTCCTCTTATCCATGAACTATTGTTGTAATAAAGATTGTCCTATATTTTGTACATAGCTGTCTCTGTATTTATTGGAAGGTTCTGACAAAGTGGTAGTGTACCACACCTGAGCGAATCCAACATATATTATGCATTAACATTTTTCTTTGAACAAAATGTACATCTAAATGTATGTCTACATACAATATACATTTACAATTATAAATAGATTATATCATTATTACTACAATAGATATATATTTCCACACGACTGCACAAATCGAAGTTTATTTCGAACCACATGATGCAACATTTGTTTTTTTTCTTCTGCTAATCCCCACAACTAACAAGTCAGCCAAAACACAGCGCATGAGAAAACAATATGCAAATGTCGAGACAAAAAGCTCCATTTGCCCAATTTCACCACGTGTTGGACCTCCAAATAGCCATTCAGGATTCATTCAGAGCTCAACAATCACCACTTGGCAAGCAAGGCATGGCTATTATTATTTCTAACAATACACACTCAAGCTGCACCAGTAATTGGACAGCATATAGTTTGACAGTGGGAATAGGCATTGGTCAGTGACAGGAAGTGGCACAGAGGAGCAGAGGTGGGAAGTAGTGGACATATATAATATATATAGTACATTTTTCTGGTATCAGTACTTTACTCCAATACTTATTTTTCTGATGACTTTTTATTTTTACTTCTTACATGTTGAACACAAATACCTGTACTTTCTACTTCTTACATGTTGAACACAAATACCTGTACTTTCTACTTCTTACATGTTGAACACAAATACCTGTACTTTCTACTTTTTACATGTTGAACACAAATACCTGTACTTTCTACTTCTTACACTTTGAACACTAATACCTGTACTTTCTACTTCTTACATGTTGAACACAAATACCTGTACTTTCTACTTCTTACATTTCCCAAACAGGCTGGTTCCTTTAGTTTGAATGTGTGTCTGGTGGCGTGATCATTATTATTTAGAGTCATTGCGTGCCTATTGATTTGAACACGATCCGTGTATCCATCATTTCCTGGTCTTCTCTAAAGAAGAGGGACCAATGAAAACGTTGTCATGTTGCCGTTGTTCAGCATGGAAACATTCATTAGCTAACAATGACATTATTGTTCTATTAATATAAAGGGAGGTCAGGTACTCTTTAAAACAGCTGCTAGTTATGGGTACTTTTTATTTAAAGGTCACCTATCGTGCTATTTTTAGGCAATAGCATAGGTCTCAGATATATAAAAATATATAAAAAACATGTCTATGAAGTGTTTTGCTCAAAATACCAAACAGATCACCCATTCTAGCCATGCCTCATATCCCTCTATTTCACTTCCTGTTTCAAAAGTGATGATTTGGGTATAAAGCTTTATAAAAAAAAAAATTTGATACAAAAAAAAGGAGGGGTCTGAGCTCATGCGGGACCCGGCAGCTACCGTCTAAACTAAATACTGCGGTGATGAAACGCCATATCATGGATTATCAAGGATTGTTTCTGAAACAGTATGGAGCTCAAAGGCTTTCTCTCTTGCCGGTTATACCACAAGGTGAGTTCCTTTTTATTTCCTGCTTCTTCACACACATGCTCTCCAGTACAGGTTAGCTCTGAGTGTTAGCGATGCTAATGTAAACACCGACCATATTACGTCCAAAACAGTCGGGCATTGTTTCTGATAGCAACGTTTCTGATAGGGCCGTGGGTCCACATTTCAGATATTACGTCATATCGGACGCAAATCTGGATCAGCTCCGTTGTAGCCCCGTTTTTAGAGATTTGGGTACGGAGGAAAAGAGAGAGGGTTTTATTTTCTGACGCTGCGTGAGTTCCCCGACACACCGGGGACACATATTTATGTATAAAAGACATCACAAAGTGCATTTAGCATGATAGGTCCCCTTTAAGTACATTTCAAAGCCCAAACTTCTTTACTTTTACTTGAGTAAAGAAATGTAGTCAGTACTTCTACTTTTACCAGAGTATTTTTAAACACGAGTATCTGTACTTCTACTTGAATAAAGGATGTGTGTACTTTTGCCATCTCTGCAGAGGAGAGAAATCACGAACCTGACCTCCTGTGTGACGAACATCACATGTTTTAGCCCCCCCCCCCCCCCCCCTCATTACTGACTGAGATGACAGCTTTATAACAACTTGACATTTTCAGCCTGAGCCTCTCAGTCTGGACTCAAAACAACCTCCACTTAAGTGTTCGAGGCTCTCTGACAGGTGATGAGAAATGTTTTTCCATTTCATGTTGTAACGTGTAAAATGTAAGATTATATAAAAGATGTAGCCACTCTGGTTTGAAAATGACCATAACCTTGCACAATAGATATATAAACTCTAACTAAATCAGTCCCAACAAAAGCGTTGAAATCAACAAAAGTGTTCTGTTCTGCATGTGAAAATGTTTTCTCTCAGTGATTGTGATGTTATGTTATTGTGTCTTGATATTTGTCTGTTGATGTTACACATGGATCTGCTGTGATGCAAGTCACATTTCAGACTTGATCTGACCATTAAAGTATTATCTTATTGTATCGTAAATGGTTGCCTTTTATGATCCATGCTAATGCTAAAAAGAAAAGTGCAACCCCACACAATAGACCACTTACTTCTACCAAATAACAATAAAACGAAAGGTATAGCTGTATTTAATTAATCAAGCCATGAAGATTTAATCTATATGTTTAGAATTTCCGCAATTTGTCTCTATCTTTAGGTTTGGATAAGAAAAGACTTCACATATCACTCGAAGGTTGCCTTTGTTTTTTAACCAGCATTTACTTATTTCTAACTGTAAACAAAACGTTCAAATTGGAAGCTAGCAGCTAACGTAGCTGTTATGATGCTAACCGTAGCCTAATTACAACACAGTCTCACGGCTTTTCGCCATTTTTTTCGTGTCACACAGAACGATTTTAAAAGCAATGTAAATAATAACAAATTAGAAGGAAAAAAAATACAGATTTCAGTATTCTGACACAGAACGATTTTAGAAGCAATGTATTTATATTGGTAGTCTGTTTCGTGCCTGCACCAAATAATAACAAATTAGAAGGAAAAAGATATTTAAAAAAATACAGATGTCAGTATTCTGAGGCTCTGAGACATTTCTTTTCCTCACGGACGGCAAAAAAAACTCCGACATTATACAATTTAAAACAAAAGAGATAGGGTTAGGCTTAGGGTAAGATATTGAGTAAGAACATGTTTTTATGAACCACACAGCTTCTGGCCTTCCAAGACCGGCACCCGACCGGACAAAACGACGTGGTGCAGGCACGAAACATACTACCAATAGAAATACATTGCTTTTAAAATCGTTCTGTGTGACACGAAAAAAATGCGAAAATCGTGTTGGTGAACACGAATCAATAGATTACATTTATTTGACTATGACATGAAATGCCGTGAGACTGGGTTGCTAATTACCCATCCAGATGATATTAAGTTGGATTTCTGTTTCCTGTTATCGGCTGTCTGTTAATTCAATATTCTGATTTAGCTCGGTTTTAAGATCTAAACTCCTAGAGGACATATTTCTATCAACCAAAGGCTCCACTGTGTTCATCAGCTAACCGCTAACTTTGCCCATCTTCTGTTTGATGCTTAGCAGCTAGCATAGCAGGAGCTACTTTTGTTAAAAACCTCAGTGGACTGCCTCTGGATTCTAGACATTTAGCAGTTTTAATCCTGTGTAAAACAGTCCAGTTGCAGTTTATATCTATATTTCTCCAAAATGTAATAATTTTAATCATTTGGCATTTGTGTTGGATTGGCAAAATATTTGCTTTTGACG